CCAGGGCCGTGCGCAGGATTTGCTCCTGAGGGGGAGTATTATCAAATTTCTTAACAAATATATTTTAGGTTATTTTTAAGTATTTTAATTGAAATTTTATAAAAAATATGTATTTTTAGGTTATCTCTAGAATTAGACCAACCGGGCTAAACATTCAATTTTTTTAGTTTCTTTAAGAAACTTTCTTGACCCATTACTACATAAGAAAGTATATGTGATACAATTTGCCATGTGCAGTCTTGGTTGCATAGTATGTACCGATTGTGGCAAAGGCCACGTCGTTAGACTGTGTGGATCACGTGATGTTATTACATCTCGCCTCTGTTGGCTTACTAGCTTAGTATATAAGCTCCGGCGGTAATTTGTTTTGGGTGTGTTCCACTACACCAAGTTGCCCGACACTGATGAGACCCAATATAGGTCGAAACAGCTGTCTGTTGGTATTTGAAGTTGGTGGAACGCACTCAAAACAAAAAACTTTGGCGAGGTGAAGGTTCAATTATTTCTTATGAATATTACAAGTAATGGATTAAGACAGTTTCTTAAAGAAACTAAGAAAATTGAATGTTTAAGTTAAATTTAACTAACCATAATTGAATTCCCCGCTTATTACAAAATAGCGTTAATTTAAGGTTAATTTAATGTTGTAGTACAATATTACTTCAATAAATTAACGTAAATTTACCGTTAATTTAACAAGTGACTTGGGATTGATTTAGATTTTGACATTCAAAGAATAACTTTAAAAGTCACAACATATATTTTATTTACTCGTCTGTGACTTTATAGCGTTTTAGTCACGGGCTGAAGTTAGCTTTATTATAAATTGGGAAAAAGTGAGGTTAAATCCTAGTGACAGATGTTAAACTTTTAACAAATAAAATTGGCGTTAAATTCTGTTTTGTGTTCGTCGTAGATAAAGTGATTGTGCCTAATTAAACTCGTAACTCAAAATATATATGTATATATATATATATATATATATATACGAGGTGTGTTCAGAAAATAACAGGAATTGTTAAATTTCGCGGGTTCGGAGGGTCCGGTTGTCATAAAATTTTCTCTATTATGTTGGTATACTTGCCCCCGAAATATGATAAAAACTTTAGCTGTTTACATTGTTTACTTTGTCTGTGATAGCCGCTAATGTTAGACGTGTTTTATGATCTCGGCGATTTTTCGTTCGTTAAAAGAAATGGATCAAAGAATTTTTATCCAATTATGCTTAAAAAATGAAATAAATTCTGTGAAATGTTAACAAAGGCCTATAGTGAGTCTGCTATAAGTAAAACAAGAGTTAACAAGTGGTATAAGAGTTTCCAAGATGGCCGTGAAGACGTTGAAGATGACGAACGCCCCGAACGCACAAGCACATTAACAACCGATAAAAACATGGAAAAAGTGGAAGAAATGGTTATAACCATCAGAGAAGTCGCTGATGATATTGGTATATCAATTGGCTCATCCCATGAAATTTTTTCGAATGTTTTGGGTTTAAAACGCGTGGCAGAAAAATTTGTTCTAAAATTGTTAAATTTTGAACAAAATTTTTGGCCAAAAACAATACTGTAATGATGCCCCAGCCTCCATATTCGCCAGACATGCCTCTGTCTGACTTTTTCCTATTCCCAAAAATAAAGAGAACCTTAAAGGCCGTCGTTTTGCAAGCATAGATGACATTAAAAGCGCATCGCTGAAACAACTAAAGGCTATCCCAAAGATCGAGTTTTAGAAGTGTTTCGAGTATTGGAAGAAGAGCTGGCACATGTGCATAATATCCAATTGGGACTATTTTGAAGGCGACAACATTAATGTAGACGAATAAATAAATATTTGTTTCAAAAAACGAAAATTCCCGATATTTTCTGAACACACCTCGTATATAAGATGATGAAATTATAATATAAATGATTTGTTTTGTTTGTAGGAATGAAATGTAAAATTGGGATTAAATCGGCTAATATCGGAATTATATAGTTTCGGTCAGAATTGAGGATGTCCATTTGTCCCCTAAGTGTATTCCGTATTCCGTAAGCCCAATTTGATTGGAAAGCACCGTGGAACATTAAAAAGTAAATCTCATATTAAGACCCGTGACCAATGGTTGGATTAATGTTTTGCGGCCGACCGCCGCTGCTATAACTAATTTTATATCACCCTTCTGTTAAATCCATTTTAAGTGAGGTTGCGGAGGGCTAAGATCAAATCATGCGGACCCGGGTCACTCTACTTTTTACTTATATATATAGATATATTTATTCACCCCCCTTATGGTCGGGATATTGTTCCAAGTCAATCATAAAATATTGCTAAAATCCGTATCGATGACGTTTCCTATGCATTCGAAATTCCTCCATCGAGTGGACCCCGTTTGCCCGATACCGTGCGTCCATTTATTCAGCCAGATTGATTGATTTTTTCTTCGCATAACACGTTTCATTTGTCACCTTTTGCCCGACATGTCGCCCCCCAAATTGCATCATTTCAACAATTTACATATATTTACAATCTTTTCTCTATTTCCTACTAAATCAATTTCACCTTAATGTGATCTTTACGGCGATTGTACAAAGGAAAGTATGCTAAATAGTCATTTTTTAATAATAATAATTATAATTAAAAACCATCATCAAAAAGCTTAAACCGCGCCACCAGTCTATTTCCGTTATCAAATTTTCAAATAGTCCTAAGGGCAAAAATAACTTTTGTTTACTTATTGCCGACTTCCCTCTCAAAAGGTTAATATCATTATGTTTATATTTGGGGTGTTGATCCGATAAACGTCTTATAGATTATACATTTAAATTTTAAAACTACCACGCTTGGCTGTCATGCATTTCCCAGTCATTTGTTTACGTCAAGGCGGGGAAAACAAATGACAATATGTTAATTTTGGTTTATGTGCAAAAATATTTCATACATAAACTTAATAATGATAATAAAAATAACTTACCGTGCGTTGACTGAAGAAGGGCTCGCCACATCATCCACCGTGGGTTTTCTGGAAAAACAACCCAAGTCAGGATACAGATACAACATTTTATATAAATATATTTTGAATTCACCGCGTCATACACGTGCTAAGGCAAGTGTTTAGTACAAAGATGCCGGTGCAACTGAATGCACTTGTTGGTCTCCAGCCTGGTAATTTAACAGAATTGCTAACTTGCCCCTAACATATCCCCTTCCATGCACCCTTAATACACCAAGTACAACTCCCTTTCACCCTATTACTCAGTTAGGGTAGGTCAGTTTTATGTATCTAACTTAACGATCGCCCTGTATAATTCGAATTTAACGCAACACAAGCTTGTTTATAATTAGTAATTTTGCTGGAAAAATGTACAGAAATGTTGATTTTTTTGAACATGGAAATAGCTAATCCTGATTATTGTTTCTACTAAAATATAGAATTATATGATACATAAATATAATCAGTTGTAATCAAATATACGAACTTTTATTTCAAATGTTCAAAAATTGTGATTTTGCTTTAAAATGGAAAAAGATAATCTTAAACATTGTTTTAACCAAAATATGAAGCAATTAGAGTTATATGGTACATTAATATTATAAATGTTCAAAAACTGTGATTTTGATTTAAAATGGAAAAAGCTAATCCTGATTATTGTTTCTACCAAAATATGGAGCAATTAGAATTATATGGTACATAAATATAATCAATTGCAATTAAATAGACGACCTTTTATCAAAATTTTTTAAAAATTGTGATTTTGCTTTAAAATGGAAAAAGCTAATGCTGATCATTGTTTCTTCGGAAATATAGAGTAATTAAAATTATGTGGTACATAAATATAATCAGTTGTAATCAAATAGACGACCTTTTATTGCAAATGTTCAAAAATTGTGATTTTGCTTTAAAATGGAAAAAAGCTAATCCTGATTATTGTTTCTACTGAAATATGAAATAATTAGAATTATATGGTGATTTTGCTTTAAAATGGAAAAGCTAATTATGATCATGGTTTCTACTGAAAACAAAAATGTTCAAAAATTGTGATTTTGCTTTAAAATGAAAAAAGCTAATCTTGATTATTGATCTGAAAAAATATAGAAGAATTAGTATTAAACTAGTTAAAAATAACATTAAATTGACTACAACATACAAAATCTAATATTTAATTCAAAGTGGGACAGTGCGAAAAACTTAATTAAAGGGAAAAATGTTTCCCGATATGCCACGAATTTCGAATAAATCAAGTAAATAAGAGTAGAAGTGATTCACGATCTAAAAGAATTCCAGGATGAGACCATCAAATATGACAGAGCGCATTCCGCATTCCGTAAGGCTCATGTTCTGTTTATGAGTTCTCTAACTGCTCTATAAATCAACAGCCCCGTAGAAATTGCTTGTAATTAAGGGTGGACTCAATCTGCTTTACCACCTACGCCATTTTAATAAACGCATCTACGGTTCACCCTCTACATATTTTATTTAAATTTAGTCCAGCCAAACTTAAACGTTTGACACAAAACAACAAAAACAAAACCAAGAGTTCAAAAAATCAATGTTGATTCCTAAAACCAATTAAACCATAATTGGTAGTTGCGGATTGTTGAAGGTTAGTGACATATATGGAGTAGTATTTGTTTCGAGAATCAACTCGACAGTGGTCTATATGATATTATCTTTACCGAAGACATCGAGAACTGCTGATACATGGACCCAATGCTGCTCAATAGCCAATAATCCATCTATACGAAGGATAAGAGGAACATGCTTTAAAAATATTTGCAGGAGTTTTACGAAGGGGTTATCAATCTATACTAGAAATAAAATAATGTTTGCAGGAATATTCTTTTAGCAAAGTTTGAAATTAGAATTGGAATTAGAAAATTTCATTTTATTTTCAGAATTCGGAAAAGAACGATGAAATGAGAACAACCGTTTTTTGTCGAAAAAACTGTATAGTGCGTGGACTAATTTTGCAGGAATTGATGGCGTGCTCATCATTGCTCACTAGATGATAGTTGGCATTTCAATGTTGTTTGCGGCACGCGCGCAGAACGCGCACTATGTCTGGCCTTACTTCACTCCGTCTGAGCAGCTTCTTTGCTGGAGCAATGTTGCTTCTGGCTGTTGCCTTTTTGATCGATGCAGGATTGCCTAATTTACCGAGACAATTAATTGATAAATATCGCCGCATTAACCGATTAAATGCGTCTCTTTAAGTATTAACTTAAAGCACTTTTTTAATTAATAAAATTAATTTACATATTCAAGTTTTATATTTTTTTATATAAAGCTGTGATTTTGCTTTAAAATGGAAAAAGCTAATCATGATCATGGATTTTACTAAAATATGGAGCAATTCTTATTATATGGTACATAAACATAATTGCGGAGATTTCTTAAATTAATTCACTTTTAAATATATCTTTATATTTGATCATCCACCACTTTGGATATAAGAATAATTATTTTCTCTCTGATTTTTTTGTATAATATTGTTAATGCCAAAGTTGATTGTGCAATCTTATTGTTAAAATTAAATTTTATTATACCTCGTATGAACTCTAGAAATCAAATAACGTTTAGAAATAATAGAGCTAGGACCAATATTGCGAGTAAATCACCGATTTACTATACGTGTCAAAATTTCAACAAGATTTCTAAACACTGTGATATTAATTTTAATACTTTAAGTGTCATTGTACGAACTCTTATTGAATTACACCTCTTCTAATATGCACATGTACCTGTTAAATATTTTATATATATGTTGAATATGAATGTCCGGTAATGGTTTTACTGTTGGACAATAAAGATATATTATTATTATTATTATAATTATTGCAATTAAATAGACGTTCTTTTATCAAAAATGTTCAAAAATTGTAATTTTGCTTTAAAATGGAAAAAAACTAATCCTAAATATTGTTTCTACTGAAATATGGAATAATTAGAATTATATGGTGATTTTGCTTTAAAATGTAAAAACTAATCATGATCATGAAATATGGAGCAATTCGAATTATATGGTACATAAACATAATCATTGCAATCAAATAGACGACCTTTTTTCAAAAATGTTTAATAATTGTGATTTTGCTTTAAAATGGAAAAAGGTAATGATAAACATGGTTTCTACTAAAATATGGAGCAATTCATATTATATGGTACAAAAACATAATTATTGCAATCAAATAGACGACCTATTATCAAAAATGTTCACAAAATGTGATTTTCCTTTAAAATCAAAAAAGCTAATCCTGATTATTGTTTCTACTAAAATATGAAGCAATTATAATTATATGGTACATAAATGCAATCAATTGTGCAATAAAATAGACGACATTTTATTACAAATGTTCAAAAATTGTAATTTTGCTTTAAAATGGAAAAAGCCAATCCTGATTATTGTTTCTACTAAAATATGGAGCAATTAGAATTATATGGTACATAAAGATAATCAATTGCAATCAAATAGACGGCCTTTAATTATAAATGTTTAAAAATTGTGATTTTGCTTTAAAATGGAAAAAGCTCTACTGAAATATGGAACATTTAGAATTATATGCTAAAAAAAAGCTAATCATGATCATGGTTTCTACTAAAATATTAAGCAATTAGAATTATATGGTACATAAACATAATCATTGCAATCAATCATGACGACCTTTTATCAAAAATGTTCAAAAATTGTGATTTTCCTTTAAAATGGAGAAAATCTAATATTGATTATTATTTCTACTAAAATATGGAGCAATTAGAATTATATGGTAAATAAAGGTATGATTTCTACTAAAATATGGAACATTTAGAATTATATGGCACATAAACATAATCATTGCAATCAAATAGACGACCTATTATAAAAAATGTTCATAAATTGTGATTTTGCATTAAAATGGAAAAAGCTAATCATGATCTTGGTTTCTACTAAACTATGAAGCAACTAGAATTGGTACATAAACATAATCATTGCAATCAACTAGACGACCTTTTATCAAAAATCTTAAAAAATTATGATTTTGCTTTAAAATGGAAAAAGATAATCCTGATTATTGTTTCTACTAAAATATGGAGCAATTAGAATTATATGGTACATAAAAATAATCAATTGCAATCAAATAGACGGCCTTTAATTATAAATGTTCAAAAATTGTGATTTTGCTTTAAAATGGAAAAAGCTAATCCTGATTATTGTTTCTACTGGAATATGGAAGATTTAGAATTATATGGCACATAAACATAATCATTGCAATCAAATAGACGACCTATTATCAAAAATGTTCATAAATTATGATTTTGCATTAAAATGGAAAAAGCTAATCATGATCATGGTTTCTAATAAAATATGGAGAAACTAAAATTATATGCGACATAAACATAATCATTGCAATCAAATAGACGACCTTTTATCAAAAATCTTAAAAAATTATGATTTTGCTTTAAAATGGAAAAAGATAATCCTAATTATTGTTTCTACTAAAATATGGAGCAATTAGAATTATATGGTACATAAAAATAATCAATTGCAATCAAATAGACGGCCTTTAATTATAAATGTTCAAAAATTGTGATTTTGCTTTAAAATTGAAAAAGCTAATCCTGATAATTGATTCTGCTAAAATATGGAACAATTAGAAGTATATGGTACATAAACATAATTCCAATCAAATGGACGATCTTTTATTAAAAATGTCCAAAAATTGTGATTTTGCTTTAAAATGGAAAAAGCTATTTCACTCCGTCTGAGCAGCTTCTTTGCTGGAACAATGTTGCTTCTGGCTGTTGCCTTTTTGATCGATGCAGGATTGCCTAATTTACCGAGACAATTAATTGATAAATATCGTCTCACTGCATTAACCGATTAAATGCGGCTCTTTAATTACTAACTTGCTTAAAGCACTTTTTTAATTAATAAAATTAATTTACATATTTAGTTTTTATATTTAAAATATAGTTAAAATAAAAAAACAACCATTTTGACTTGTAGTTTTGGTGTAAATGACCCTTTTGCCGATGATCGTTTATTATTAATTGTGGTATGATAGATTAAATATGAGTTTACGAAATTCGATTAAAAAAAGGGAAGAAAACTTTACAAGTAAAAACAAGAGCGTCAACTCTAGCAGGTAAACGTAAACCAGATCGACTTAAAAGCCTTTAAATACACTGCTCGACAAAAAACCAAAACCGATCAATGAAAGTTTGTTGAAAACGCAATTATAATCGAATTAAAACGATAAAACAAATATTCTTGATGGTTGATACTTGATGTTATGAGTTGTACATTATATTGATGTTAAAAGTAAGCTATTGGTTTGTGTTTGATAGTGTAGCTTTTGAATAAATTTGCCGCTCTCAAATTAGAGATTGTTTTTTGTGCGTGAATATACGAAGCACGGTGAAGTTGTATTGTCGTCGACTAGATCGATGGTATATTTATTGTGTCCAGCAGCTTTGCAGAATGTGGCCACATGACTCGAGTTTCCACATTCCCGACATACATGGCTTTTAATGAACAACTAACTCCTACTACTTAGTTTCTCTTTTTGATTCACTAAATGTCGCTTCTATTGCAAAAAAATTCGACTGCGCTGTCCAAATAACGCAGCTTTTTTCGGCAAAGATGAACATTTTTTTAATTAATTTCGAAATAAGAGTCAAAACTCAATCTTCAATCATATTTCATATTCGATTGGTGTAATAAATAAATGTTAAAAAAGGTCTTACCTGTCGGCCCAGCATAACGCGTCGTCTCTGTATCTGCAAGAAAAGAAAAAAATTTGATAAATGCGAGTTTTCGATAAAAATAAAGTAAAGTACTAAATATAGGTGTATGAAAAAGGTAGCGTTAGTTGGTGATGTTTTTGCAAGCAGATAGCATTGTTTGATTTTATATTGTAGCGTGTGGTTGAAAATGAAAAGAGCGACTTATTTTAGTAAGATGGAGAAACTACTTTTTACTTAAAATCCAACTAAAACGAGAATGCTGCCGGTGAAGAAGGAAAAACTGACAATGGGGGTAAGTTTCATAGAGCCGGCCGAACTGCATAACCAGACATGTCCATCTTGGGATCAAGGTGATTGAGACTCGGATGTATCGTCTATCTCTCTGTGTGTGCATGTGTGTGTGTGTGTGTGTACAAACCCCGCTCGCGGTTCGCCTCTCCTCTCTTCTTCTTCTTCTTCTCTTCCAAAGCCTTTTTCGTCTTGTGTCTTTCGGCTGCTGCCGTCCGTCAGTCAGTCAGCCGTTCTTTTTACTTCAAACACTGCCGTTCAGTCTGACGGCCAGCTAGCTATTTTTAGAAATATTCATTCACCTTTTTTACACACAGAATTCCAACTATTCAGTCTTTCTTTTTTAATTACCATTTAAAATTATACTGTTTTTACCTATCGACATCTAACAACAAAAAGTACAGGATATCCCAAAAGTTATTTCAAAATAATCACGTCTACTTTTAGCTTAAATACATGTATGTACCAGAACATAATCAGATCCAGTTTTATGTTTAAAATGCACATAATATTTTAAATATTTGATAGGGACCAAAAATCTGTCAAAACCAAAAATCGTTAAGACTTAAAAAAAGAAAATTCACATACACATTTTATTTTAAATGACCGAAAATATTGTTCAAAACATCGAAAAACAAATTTAGGTCCTTTTTCATTTTGAATGTTTACCATTTAAAAAGCATGTATATATATTTTCAACTCGATTCAAAATTTCCAAGGAAAAAGTTTACAGGATATGAGCAGTTTAATATTTAAAAATTTGTGTTTTATTCACACAATTTTTCAGCATAAATACACTCACAGGCAAAATAATCGATCCACTCAAATTTTCAATGAATTTCAATCGCAAATAACTTTTTTATTGGATTTCGGATTTAAACAAATATTAAAGAATATTTTAGATACATTAATGGAGAATCGCTCACATTTTAAAAATAACTAAAAAATACACGTACGTTTATAATATACAGGTTTAAACAAAAAGATGTTTTTTACCATAAGTTTAAGACACTCTGTAGAGTGGCAAAACCGTATATTGTTCTAAATTAAGTTTTAATTATCAAGTCACATCTATTTTTAACCGTTTTGTTTTTGGTTTACCTTAATATAATTATCTTTGTGGAAAATATGGATTTTTTTAAAAAAACATTGAAATTTCCAATATTTTCCTGTATGAAGAACTAAGGTTGCTATGGTCCATCCATAGCCTATGGAGGATGACAGTGACAGTTTTGTGAAATCATCCCATACTTGGACATGTCATATACATCTTTCAAAAGCTATCAAATTGTTTTTTGTAAATTAATGTGTTAATTTTGAGGTGTATTCTTACTTTTAAAAATGTCTCCGACTGATGTTGCCCTTTGTACTTTACTTCTTGTGACGTTTAAAACACTTGCCACGTAATACTGTGACCGTCCATACTGGATTAAATTAATGGCTCTGGGTGGACCATAGCAACCTTAGTTCTTCATACATAAAAATATTGAAAATTGCAATGTTTTTTTTTTAAATCCATATTTTCCACAAAAATAAATATATCGAGGTGAACCAAAAACAAAACTGTTAAGAGTAGATGTGAGTTGATAAATAAAACATATTTTTGTTTAAACCTGTATATTATAAACGTACGTCTATTTTTTAGTAATTTTTTAAAATGTGAGCGATTATCCATTAATTTATCTACAATATTCTTTAATATTCGTTTAAATCCGACATCAAATAAACAAGTTATTTGCGATTGAAATTCATCGAAAATTTGTGTGGATAGATTATTTTGCCTATGAGTGTACATATGTACCAGAAAATAATTAGATCTAGTTTTATGTTTAAAATGCACATAATATTATAAATATTTGATAGGGACCTATAACTATTTATATAATATATATTTATATTGGGGTGATTCATTTAAAATGAACGAAACTCCAAAATATTGTTCAAAACATGTTTTGAACCTTATTTTGAAGTTTCGTTGAAAAAAAAATAGTCGTTTAAAATGAATTTATATACATTTTCATTCCATTTTTTTGCTACTATATTTTGAGTTACCATCACCATATTTTGTTTTTATAATGGTAGCCATTACTTATATAGTTTGATACATCGTTGGATTTTTTGATTTTTTTCTTTTGATGGCGGTCGTTAATTTCTATGTAAAATTGTCCCCTCAATCAGAAAATGTCGTCAAAAGTTTTTTTTTTTATATAGTTAATTTTCCATATAATATGGAAAAAAACTGCTCTACTTTCATAATTTTTGAAGGTATTTTCGTATTCAGGGGACAATTTTACATAAGAATAGGCTGTTAAGTGTTGGTATCCCATGGTTAACCATGGTATAAGTGAAAAAGCAGCCACTAATAACTGTAGTAAGTAGTCATTTTTGAATAATTCATTTTTAGAGAGTACATATAATGTTGATTATATTTTTGACAAGTTTAGTTTGTTTAAATGAATCGAACCTCAAAATAAAAAGTGCTCCACCAATGCACATTTTCGCTGTTAAATCTTAAATCAAATTCGACTAATATACACCCTATAGACCTTATGTTAGATCTAAAGCAGTTTGTTTTATATTGTCATTGGTGATAAATGATGTTTGGGGGCGCGAATCCTTATTTACATTCCCAACCGTTTCATATAAAATTTACAAATATTGCATGGATATATAGAGGAGAGACAGGGTGAATCCTGTAAACATGATTTTTTTTTTAATTTCGTACATACAGACTTGCAAATTCGATAATGCAATGTAAGGGATATAACGTCGAGTTTTATGTGTAATAATGTTGTTAAAAGTAGCGCTTAAGGGATAATAATCTTTGCTTATTTTATGTTTTAGAACGCGCAATATTACGTTCAAGCTGTACAAAATAACAGCTGTTCGCGATTGCCTTTTAGTTTCATTGTTAAAATTTGGGGGTGCGCGATATTCAAAAATGCTCATTGCTTTACGGGCATCCCTCATGCATTATGCACGTTTACTAGCCGAAAACGAACGTAAAACATTTTATTTGATCTTGTTGCATTGCAGGAGAGAAGAAAATAAACGGATAAAAGGCAAAGTGACGAAAACATGTTCGGGAATCAGAAGTTTTAAATCTGCCAGTAGTTTGCGATTGCGTGCCGTAGTTTTGTGACGTTATAATCAACAGTAGCCATAAATCTGCGGCCTCATTATTAAATGTGTCGTTTTAATTGAAATTTCATGTTTTGTTAGCCAAAGCGGCAAACTGGAACACTTTGCTCTCCCGCACTTTTTCTGCTCCTCCGAGCATTTTGCTTGATTGGCGCCTTCGGTACGTTTTTTTTTTGTTTTAGATATTGCACTCCATTTACATGGGTTTACTCCCTTTTCACACGCTACTGGTACTTATTTATTATCTCTAATATACTTACACCTACAATAAATTCCAAATTGAAACGGTTTTGTTTAATCGACTATAATAAAATGTCTATTATAAATTTCGACTAGTTACTACATGGCAGAAACATTTTATTATTATTATTATGATTATTGATTCTTGGGGTATAAGATGAATTTTATTTATTTAGACTTGATTTTAATGATTCATTATTCAACTAAAATTTTATGTACAGGGTGGTAGAACTTTTCAAAAGAATTAAAAAAAAAGTTATGTAAACATAGTTCGTAAAACAACTTCTAAATGAGCTTAAAGTCCTTCCCTGAAAATAGTTTTTCTTAATATTTCCAAAAAAACAAAAGTTCAAATTTTGATAACATATCAAAAAGACACAATGTGGCACTAAGAAATGTTATAAATAATGGATGTATCAAGTTTGATAATTTTATTGCGAATTTAATTTAGGCACGTGCAAGCTTGCGAGCGAGTGCTTAATTAAATGGTTGCCTAGAAAAGTTGCATGCTATACTATATACTATTAATATTATCTAAAAAAGATTTAACTTAAATATTTGTATAAAGCGACATCCATATGAAAATAAAGTAACCATCCCAATAAATATTTTAGACGTAATTTTCACCATTAACATTGCCCGTTATTATTTTAATTAAACTTAAAAATGATTGATACTTTAATAGTATATTTAAGAACTAATGTCATAAGACGTCATTTTGTCGCACGCGGACAATTTATAAAACGAGCATCGAAGGAGCGAGTTTTGTAATGGACGAGTGCGACAAAAGGTCTTATGACATGAGTTCTCTATGCTATTTTCTCTATTTTGCAAAAATTAAAAAAAAAATTATTTTATACCTTAAATTTAATTTGGTCGAATTTTACTTTAGATAGTTGGTATCACAGTCATTGGTTTAACAGTTAATGTCAAAATCGATTCGCCATGCCGTCCTTAATTTACTTATTTACAGCGGCTGTTAATGTTAAAGAAGAAAAAAATGATTTTCCTTAGTGTTAAACAAAATTTATTGCCAGAAAAGTCTCGTAAGTACTAGAGAAAAATCATGAAAATATTATAACCAATATGCAAAATATTATGCTGTTTAAACTATAAAATCAAAATTTTGGGTGGGATAAAGTATCTCATTACAGCACCGAAAGCGGTGTTATAATGAAGTCATTATGAACGCAAAATAGATACAAAATTAAAATAACTTCAAAAAATACGTTTACCTTGTAAATGAAAATTTATCCCTTGAAAATAGACTAACAATCGATATAGAAGCAATTTTTCACAGTAAAAGAGAAGAGAATGTTTTATGGGCACTGCACGCACAATTTTTAATGCTTTATCAGTTAAATCTCGTTAACTGCACTACTACGGCGAAATCAAAAGGTCAGTACAAACGTTTATATAATATTTTTTTTTTTTAATATTGGCGTTAAGAAACTATTTAATACTTTTGTATTTTTGTATTGAGATAATAAAAACAATTTTTACATTTAGTTTTATTTTACAAGAAAGTTAACTAACTTCAGCCCATGACTAAAAATTTGTTGCTGACTTCAGCCCGTGACTAAAGCGTCATAAAGCCACATCGTGTTAATTTGTATTTTAAAGGTGGAAGTAGATAAATATATTTTCTGACAACCTTTCGCTATTAAGTTGTTTTTTGGGAAGTACACATCGATAATACAGTATTGGCGTTAAAATTGTAAAATTTCATTTTACGTGCATCGAAGAGTGATCAGATCTCATCGCATTGTCATTATGGGTTTTGAGAGGTCGCTCATTTGAAATTCGCCCCGGGTAAAGCCCGTTACCACCACATGCCCACTGACAACTTTACGAGGAACACCACTTCAAACCACATGTTACACTTTGGGTTGCTGCTTTATGCGTACTACATGACATACACATCTCTCCCCCACCAACCCTTGTGTGTCCTTTTTGGCTTTGCATACACCACTCATTTCCCCTTGTTAAACCCTTTATCTTCCGCCACCATTTAATTACCCCGTGAGATGCTGTGTTTGAAAGATATATACTACACGGGAAAAGTTTTCCACGCGTACAAAAAATATTTCAACAAAATACAAAAGATCTTGAGAAGATTTTTCCCATTGCTTAAATCATAACGAAGGTTGAGATCCGAGACATCGGTAGGTAGCTTTTAAGAAAGAAATGCCACCGTAATGAGAGGTTAAAGGTGAGCCCGTCGGTGTACAGTTCTCATGACATTTTTACATACAGTGAACTCGAGATTAATACACAACATGTTTAATCTTTGTTGTAATTAGGTTTGTGATTCACTGGTAGTGTTAATTGGGTGACAAATAGTTCTCTACTACTTAGCTTTTTTGTTTCCTGTCACAATTTAATGAGCAGTTCCTTATAATTAACAGCATCTTCCTCTTAACTAGCTTGTTTACTTTTTTAATGGAGCCATTATTTTAATACCGTAATCGTAGAAATTTTGAACATGTTTCTCTCAAAAGCCAAATTGGCATAATAGGGGAAAAGCTGTAAAAATCGGCTTAAGACATTATCATTTTAAAGGTGACAATTTTTCTCTATTAAATTTCCTTTAGAAAGCCCCCCTAGTTAATGCATTTCTTTTACAAATGCACTGGCACCACGTTGAATATTAAAAGCGCAAAACGTTACAAATATATTTTATACAACGCCATAAATTTAAAAAAAAGTTACACTTATTAAACACCCCTCTAAGAAAAACAGATTTTATTTGTCGCACTTAATATTCCAAGCGCGCTGCTTTATTGTTTATTTATAAATTGATTAATCATTCAATAAAAATGGCTGCCTAATTGTGTAGAGCGATATGTGTCATAAGGAAAATATCGAACGGACACAATGACAATTGTTTGCATTGCACAATTTCCTTGGAGTGACATGCTGGCGGAAATTGCTGCCAATCTCACGGGACTCGGAACTATCGTGCGATTAGATATCACACAAAAGGCGCAGGTCGATTTAATAAAGCAGTCTTCAATTGTCCGATAACCATCGATATCTCCTACACTTCACTTCATTTCAGATAGAACCTCTATTGATATGCATTAGACTTTTGCTTGCCACCTAGACGAACCCCATTTCTTTTATTCCGCTTTTTTTCATTTCATACGATTTCACGAACTGATACCCACGCGTTAACTCTTTTATGATGATGCAGTTAAAAGTGCCCGACACCTTTCCAACTTCGCTGAGCGGAATTTGAAGACGAGGAAAAAAGAATTATTGGAACATTTAACAAGGGTTTAAAAAATAAATTCATAGGACAAGCTGTTGCGACAGTCACAAATTAGCCTAAGTACTTTAGACTCAATGACTTCTCCCTTGACTTTACATGCCGGCCTAGAGGGGGAGAAAAAGATCTACTGTTTTAAAGAATAATCAGCCAACATGGCCCTTACTACTAAAAAAAATCAGACTTGCAAATTTTTGATTGCCCCCTTCACAGCCCGTAAAGACATTAACCTCTTATATTTGCACTTTTGAGACCCCTGTTAAAAGGCGCTACACGAAATTATTTTAAAAGAAATTACACCAAACTCACTCCATTATTTTCTGCCCTTCCTTCTCCTACTCGCATTTTAATTTCAACTAACCAATACGCATCGAAATTGCCTTACACTAATTTATAGCTAATTAAAAGGAATTCTTGATTAGCTTTTATTTCTTTCCATTTAACTTTACCAAACTTTTGGCACGGTAAATCCAATGCAGCAAATTCTACCATCTACACGGAAAAATATATTAAGTTTGATAATTTTAGTGCGAATTTAATTTAGGCACGAGCAAGCTTGCGAGCGAGTGCTTAATCAAATGGGTGCCTAGAAAAGTTACATGCTATACTATATACTATATTAATATTATCTAAAAAAGATTTAACTTAAATATTTGTATAACGCGACATCCATAAAAAAATAAAGTAACCATCCCAATAAACATTTTAGACGTAATTTTCACCATTAACATTGCCCGTTATTATTTTAATTAAACTTAAAAATGATTGATACTTAAATAGTATATTAAAGAACTAATGTCATAAGACGTCATTTTGTCGCACGCGGACAATTTATAAAACGAGCGACGAAGGAGCGAGTTTTGTAATGGACGAGTGCGACAAAAGGTCTTATGACATGAGTTTTTTATGCTATTTTCTCTATTTTGCAAAAATAAAAAATAAATTATACCTTAAATTTAATTTGGTCGAATTTTACTTTAGATAATATCATGACCTGTGTGTGAGGCGCTAGTCTAACATGATAATCGTGCAAGCATGAAGAAAGAGAGAAAAATCGTATTTTTTATAGTAAAAAAAATATTGCATAATACTGATAGCAATGATATCTATAGATACCGGACTTTTAGACAAATCAAAATTGAATTTTAAAAATAAACGCGTTTGTTATACATATTGGTCATTTAAAAAAATCGAATAAAGGCAAAAAAATTACACTAAAAGTGGTCAAAATAAATTTTTCATCAAAATTGAAGATAGGCATTTTGCCTAGAATCCGGTCTCTACTGATTACCAAAGAAAAATACAAGGAGGTGGTATACCATATACCTATAGGTATTACCTTTTCAATTTATATAAAATTACAATTTTTTCTAAAAATACATATGGGTATTTCCATTGTAACGGGTGCGACACTGACACTGCGTTTTTTCATGATAATAAAGTGTTTGTTCAGATATATCAAGATACGTTAATATACAAAAAAAGTATAAAAAATTAGATATTTACCTCGAACAAAATAGAAATAACAACTTGAATGTAACGGGTGCGACATTTGAAGTTTTTATCTAGTATTGAAACTCTTCCGTGTTTATTCTTAAACTATTTGACTTCAGATATAGTTTTTGTTTTGTTAAATAACACATCTGATTTTTTGTCAAGGTGGGGTAAGGTTTCGCAGAAACACCCATATTTGAATTTAAACCCCACATAATATATTATATAACCCCATATAATATATTATATAACAAAAACAAAAAAAAAGTTAAAAAATTTATAAAGTATATGATAAGTTTATTTTTCTTATTTTAAAAAGTATTAATAATAATTTGATGGAGCTATTGATCGTCATTTATTTTTTTTCCAAAATGTAAGCAGCTTAAGTTGTCATTTTAAAATGAGTTTTCGCAAATCTCGCACATAAACTTGCAACTGTTTGAAATTTTAAAAATATTCATGAGGTGCATTAAGATATAAGGAAAGAACACTTTGATTTTGCCCCCCTTACAAATACATTATGAATATGATAACGGCATTGACTTGAGGGTGGAGTAATGAAAATGTATGGCAATGCTTCTTACCTCAAGTTATACATATATATTTTTTTGTGAATGGATGGAATAGCACGTGCCCAGGGTGTAATATATCACGTGAGTTAACCCTAAATGCAAATGAGCAACAAGTGGTCATCATATTGTGAGGGCTATAAATTAGGAAGAAATTACCTGTAATAGGGGAAGGCTTGGGACATGTGGAGGTCCATAGGTCCTGTGGGGTGGTGCGGCGGGCCGTACGAATGGTGTTCTCCAGTTTGGATCATCGTGGAGGCAGCTGCAGCGACCGCCGCCGCGGCTGCCGTGTGATGGTGCCCCAATACTGCTGCCGCCCAGGGCGAGGAGGCAAATCCCCCCGAATGATCCAGATCGAAGAGTGCACACCTGCTCACGCTCACACTTAAGTTCATGCAGATCTGATGCACTAATCACTTCAACACTGCACTCGAAGGTGACGTTTCAATTGTTCGGTGGTTAGTGGATGAGGCCGTCTTGACGGACAGACACGAGATGCACGTGTGTCAGCGGTCGCGGGCACTTTGCCATTGATGAGGAACTCAAGATAGCTGCCTTTAGTGCACTTGCTGCTGGTGGCGGTCGAGGATGAGATGTATATCCGTGCGTCGTACACAGTTCGCTTTCAATTGAATGAGCAAAGGAGTTGTTCGCAGAAGGCGGAGTTCACGTTTCAAAGGCGTTCTACCTCTCGCGCAGTGCAACTCACTGGCCATTCGCTTCTCCTGGCTGACATTTCGTGCCGCCTATCCTGCCTACACCCACCTCTAACTCTTCCTCATACATGCATGCATATGCATGTCCTGCTTGATTCTTAATCAGATGCGATCCGATATGCCACCTAGTCCACCGTATCGGTCGTTTCTTTTAAACTTGGCAATCCTAATATCGCGATCTTCCTAACTAGCGTTACGAGGGTCAGATCAAGTGTAAGGGGGGGAATTGTATCTCTCCTCCGGGATCTATCTCGATGTAATTCAATTTTTGGGCCAAAAGACTTTATTTTTTATTTTACCCAAATCACAATTTTTATTTTTTAACTTAACCATAATTTATCTTAATTAGTTGCAAAAATGGTGAATGCGCCGGGATATTTATTAAATTTTTAATTAGTTTAAAATATGGCGGATGCACCGGGAGAATAGTTCTAAATTATTTTACTTTTGTCAAATTTTTAGCAGTTTTTTATTACCTAAGAAATTTTAAAAAAATTTTTAAATTTTCGATTTAATTTAATTTTTGACGCTAAACAGCTGTATGAAAGGTAAAAAAAAAATTGTTAAAAAAATTATTTGACAGTCAAATTTAACTATTGTTTTTTAACCAAGTTTGAAATCGATTAAACAATTTAGATAATACATTCAAAGAATATATGGGTGGTCATTTTTTGGGATACTTTGAATTTCTTTTGACGATAGTTCTAAATCGGTTCCAGATAAATAAAAAAAAAATCTGCAGTTACAGCATTTAATATTATTTACTAACCTGGCCCTAATGGCATTCAAAGTTTTCAAGGGAAAGACACATGTATTTTTTAAAATTAAACTTAAAAACTATGTAAATATAAAAACAACTATGTTTTGAAAGTTTCACGTTATGTATTAAGTAAATAAATTACTTAAAACTTTCAAAACATACTTGTTTTTATATTTACATAGTTACTATGGAGTTTCATCAAGTAAAGGTCGAAACAATTAATAATTTAAAATAAATGAAATTTCTCTCAAATGTAATAATAGTGCTGGTTTTAAGTTTTCCCAATTATTTAAATTATTATCGTTGAATTTTACTATTTTTCTAAAAATTTCAAATTTTTTTAAACCTTACTTAAGATTTTGAAAGAAAAAAGCAGTACATAAAGAATGTGAATCTAAATAATTAATTATAAATTATAATGTTACTATTTTTCCTTTTACATAGGTTCAGAACGTGATTAGTTAACTTGGCAACTGAAAACAAAGTAAGTAATTTTTAACCACTAAGATACATTTTTGGTTACCCGAATGAAATAATGTATAAAACTTATATTAGTTGAAAAATCGTGGGAGATTTAATTTAATAAGATAATTATTACCAAAAAAATTATATTTTTATAGAAAAATTATTGCAGAATCTTATAAGAAGAAAAATCGAAAAAAATTGATTGACAAAATCTACCTATTTCTAGTCGAATGGTTCGAATCTGCAATAAAAAATAGGGTGTTCCATTGGAAATTTTAATGTTACCCCCTGTTGCCCCTATAAGGAGGAGAGTATGAGGACCAATTTTAGTACCGATTGATTTCCCCCCTCGAATCATTTAATTTTTACTTTAAACATTTTTTCGTAAAATGCATACTAACTGAGATATTTCAAGTTTCAAGTTAAATGACACCCTGTATTATACAGTGTCTCAGTATCTTGGAATCATATGGAAAACTTTTTTATTATTAACTTTAGGAAAAAAAGTTATTCTTTATAAAAAGTTCTGCATGGTGTAAAACTTAAAATGCAACCCACAAATATTAATTTTTTTTAGTCGTATACGGGGTATGTCAAATAATATGAATTTGGCTCAAGAGTAAAGTACCTTTATATTTGACAATATCGAAAATTATTATAAAGAAAAGTTAATCAGAACTAAAAACTATGCAATTACATCCATTTACATTAAAAAAAAAATGTCTTCTTTTTTGTCTACAATATCAATGCAAATTGAACTGTAACATGTAATCTAGGATGCACTGATAAACAAATGATTTGTTGATAGCAACAAATGTTTGACAGTAAGTTTTAAAACGCTTTAGTTTATGACAAAAAAATGGTTTTATTATTAACTAGTGAAGAAAAAATAGAAATTGTTTTAATTGTGGGAGAAAATTATAAAACACATAGAGAAGCAGCTATTATTTTTAATAATAGACATCCCAATAAAAATATGAATAAATCAACTGTTACCAAAATATTAAATAAATTTAAAAGTTCTGGAAGTATTAAAAATGTAAAACGCCAACAGCTAGTTTCCAATGAGAATACGCAGTAATGCTGCCTGTGATAGCAAATCCAAAACTTTCATTGCGCAAAAGGAAGTCATTGATGCAACAAAACGTAAGTAAAGATACTGTAGCGAGAATTTTGAAACTAAATAAATACAATCCATTTAAACCAAAATTCGTTCACACATTGAAAGATAGGGATTATAATAGGCGCTTTGATTTTTGCTTTCTTATCCAAGGAGAGTTAGAAGAGGACCCTTTTTTGCGAGGCATATAATTTTTTCCGATGAAGCAACGTTTTCGTCAAATGGAACTGTCACAACATTGTCGCTGGTGGTCTGAAGAAAATCCTAATTCTACAATAAAGTCTCATGACCAATATTCATTTAAGACGAACGTGTGGTGTGGCATTTATAATAACAGATTAATAGGACTTTTATTTTCTCCAAGCTATGAATGCCGAACGTTATTTACAGTTTTTACAAACTTACATCAATGACTTTATAGACGAACTACCCTTGCAAGAACGTCAATGTATTTGGTTACAACAAGACGGTGCCCCATGCCACAGTACATTGAATGTTAGGGAATATCTTGAACAAATGTTCCATGGAAAAGTTATGCACATATATTTTAATACTTTTTGGCCTGCTAGATCCCCTGACTTAACCCCCCTTGATTACTTCTTATGGGGTTACTTGAAACAAAAAGTTTACCAGAAAGGGCCGTTTCAAGATGTTAATCATTTGGAAAGGATAATTTTAGAAACATACCGGTAAATTTCTCCATAAATAATAAGGAATGTATTTTGTGAATTTTCTAATAGAATTATAAAATGTATTGAACGAGAGGGTGGATAGGTCGAGGCGTTAGTGGAATGAGTGAAAATTAAATTTCCATTTATTTCTAGTATTAATATTATGTTAATTACACTTGTGTAAAAGTTGTAACTTAGTATTTGTATGTGTTTTTTATTTGCAAAATAAATTAATTAATTACGTGTTAAAATTGCAAAATTTTTAGAAAACATTTAGAAACGAAAAGGTTTTCATGTTTTTTGTAATCATAACAGATAAATGTTCATTTAAAATAGAAAGATAAGTAAAAATTAACAAAACCTAATTTTTAATGTAAATGGATGAAATTGCATATTTAAACGTAGTTTTTAGTTCTGATTAACTTTTCTTTATATTACTCTTAAGCCGAATTCATATTTTTTGACATACCCCGTATACAACTAAAAAAATTTAATATTTGTGGGTTGCATTTTAAGTTCTACACCATGCAGAACTTTTTATAAAGAATAACTTTTTTTCCTAAAATTAATAATAATAAAGTTTTCCATGTGATTCCAAGATCCTGAGACATACTGTAAAAATTTTATAATTATTTATTTTATATACATTTTTATATAAATAAAAATGTATATAAAATAAATAATTATAAATTTTTTTATAAAATAATATATAATTTTTATCGAGGGTTACTTTTAAATAATTGTATGTATATAATAATGTCATAAAATAAATAATTATAAATTTTTTTATAAAATAATATATAATTTTTATCGAGGGTTACTTTTAAATAATTGTATGTATATAATAATGTCATATACTTAATTATATAGAAAAATATATGTCTTATGTAACTATGTATATATTTCTATATACCTAATATTTATAAAATTATAATAATACATAAATATATATTTTAAAATTATCTGATTTACACAAAATTATATTATTATTATACATAAATATATATTATTATTTATTCATATGTATATGTCTTATTAACAGAGTGTCCCGAAAATTTCGGGCCGAAATTAATGCAACACAATTTGTTCACAGATTCGAGACACAATTTTTTTTATTTTTATACATGCGGAATCTGATAGTGTTACGGTTTTTAAGATATGTATAAGAAAACAAATAATTCTTATGGGCGAATTTCAGGGGGCTGTAACTTGGCAAAAAAATATGTGTCCCCTAAATTTTTCTCATGAATCTGTGACCAAATTTTGTTGCATTAATCTCGCTGCATTAATTTGGCACCCTGTATAACAATTTACATAATTTTATGTGAGAATCTAAACATAATTATTTTAAATTATATACAAAAATGCAAATTTAGAAATGAGATAAAAGTAACATGAGTACATCTTAAATAAAAAGCATGTTACTTGTTTTGCTTGATTTTCTGTAAAAGATGGCATCGGAATTAAAGGAAAAACAAAAACATTTATTTCTTTACGCTACATACCTTTACGATGTTAAAAGTGTCTACGATGGGAATTTGATCATCATTTTCTAGACCAGATTACAAAATTGGTTCAACAGAGGTAATATTTTACCGAGTTAATTTTACGCTCGAATGGAATTTGTTTTTTTGTGCCTCACTGTAAATTGAACTCGGGATAGTTGCTTACAATGTGTTGCAAGTAAAAATATTTCATTCATTCATTCAACTTTATTACTTTATAATATTAATAAAACTTGTTCTGGAAGCAACAAATTAAATTTTAAGGGTTTCCACGTTATCATTACTTTAGATGAGGAGTATTTCCGGACCCAAAGCTTTAAGGAATACGTAAATTTATAAAAAAACGTATAAGTAACAAAAAACATTGTGAGAGTAATATTCCGTATTCAAGACACACGAAAGATGGTAAAGTTACTAAAAATTTCAGGCAAGTAGGTATATTTATTATTTATGAGCAGTGGCTGTATATCGCACCGTTGAAAAAGTTTTGATC